AAACATATATATTGTTACGTAATTTTGAAAATTTATATTTTTACCTAAGATATATTTCAAACATATATATTGTTACATAATTTTGAACATTTATATTTTTACCTAAGATATATTTTAAACATATATATTGTTACATAATTTTGAACATTTATATTTTTACTTAAGATAAATTTCAAACATATATATTGTTACATAATTTTGAACATTTATATTTTTACTTAAGATAAATTTCAAACAATTATTTAAATACTTAATTATAAATTTTATACATTAATACATATTGTTAAAATCAGCAAAAATATCAAATGCATTTTATTATCTAAACTATTGTTAACCCAAAAACTATTTTTCTTGATATTTTGGGATTTTTTATTCTTTTTCTTATCACACAGTTTTATCTTTCTTACCTCTCTTTACTTTTAGAGTTTTTTGTAAAATCAATAAAAAATTTCTATAAAATTTCTATTGGTCAATTTTGTACATCTCTCAGTTTTATCAATTTCTATTGGACAATTTTGTACATCTCTCAGTTTTATCAATTTCTATTGGTTGATTTTGTACATCTCTCAGTTTTATCAATTTCACATATCCAGTAATCATCCAAGTTATATTTTAAGAAGAAAATTAAGAAGGCAATATATTCAGAGAAAATCTAGAATTTATTTCCTTTTTATTTGTCTAATTTTCACTTTAAACTAATGGTTTTCTTATTTTTTTGGAAACTTTTCTTTTTTTATGTATAGGTCTACAAAATTAAAAAACTATTACATTCCAAAAATATATTTAAACTTGTATTTACAGAAAACATTTTGAAAATCTGAAAGAAATATGCGAAATTCTAGGTATATTTGGAAAAAGATTATCCCTGCATATCTATTTTCAAAAAAATCATTACAATTTTAAAAAATTTCAAAAATTTTAAATAAACTAGCTTGTAAAGTATCCAAAGCTTTATTAAATGTACATTGAAAATGCTACAACATGATTAGATTTATAAATTCAACAACCATCTTTTACTGTTGCAGTGTTTATAGGGTACTGTTTTGCTTTTGTCAATAAATATTGAATAAATTAGAAATTAGGATTCTGGAATCAAAATGCAGACAACTTAAAATAACAACAACAATACAAGTTATTTATTTTTCAATACTCTCAATAACTTTTTGAATTCTTGTTTAGTGTTTACAACAAAAATTATCAGGCTTTAAAATGTCAAATTTAAACTAAGTGATCATTTTGATCACTTAGTTTAAATTTGACATTTTAAAGCCTGATTACTCCAAGTTTTTATTTTTATCAGTATATAGTTTTCTTTGGCAATAAGTGAAATTTAATAAACAAATGAATTTAATGAATACACTCAGAGTGGGTATATTTTCCAAAAGTTAACTACCCCTCCTTCATATTATCTCCTTCATATTAAGCACCTTGAACACTTAGTAAATGCTTAAACAAAAATTTGACAAGAAAAATATTAACCAGCTCTATAAACATTGACTGTTAAATAATATTTTTAAATTAAAAAAATTAAAAATATATTTAGTTAATATGTATATAAATTTCTTTTTAAAAGTTGCAACCAAATAAAATTAGTACATATTTACAAAAATGTTTATGAATAAGTTTTACCATACCATAATTTTTAAGAAAGCATAAATTTTAACTCTGAAAAATTTGTTCAAGACGGTTTTTAATCTTTTTAAATTTACTTTTTTTTGTATATTAGTACTTGTATAAGGATTACTTAAAAGAATTATCAAATAAAATAGAAAAAAAAAGTGAAAAAATTGCAATTAATGAAAAAAATAACAAAATAAACATGACCTCTTCTTTTGTAAACTTTTCACGCACTTATAAAAAGTACACTATAAATAGTTGCTTGCTTCTGTAAAAGCAAATCTTGAATTATAAATCCTTTTATAGACAAGTAAAAAATCTTGAAAATTAATATACTCCATAATTCAGTTCTCCATAATTCAGTTCCATAATTTACTTCTGAAATATACACCACTAATGCTTCACTGATATAAAATTTAATATATGCTTATGCTTTTTAAATTTGATGCTTTTTTACAGATAACTATAAAGACTTTATCACACTTCTCACACTCTTCACTTCATAAATATTTCTCACACTTCTTGAGTTGAAATGTAAAACTTGATAATTTGCTGGCTCAAGAAAGTCATAAAAGTAGAAAATTGAGATTCATTAATGCGATAAAATCATATTTTTCATATTCATATAATAAAGGACTAAATGATACACAAAATTAACAATAAAATTATGACTATTTCCAGTATTAAAATCAACACTATTGCATTCTGTATTTATATCAGAATTTAAGAAGAGTTTACAATTTTCTTTGTTATAATGATTATACATACATATTTGCATCAATGTTAATATTATTTTTATTCTTTTCAACAAGAAAATCTACAAGATGTAAACTTTATGTTTACAACTTGTAGATTTTTGAAAGCATTATTTTTTTTTATCTTTTGTAGATTTTGAAAGCATTAATTTTCTTTTATCCTTTTTCCAAGTTTGTCATTAATCTTTCGTTCTTCCTTCTTTTTTTTTCAACTCACATCAGCTGGCAAACATTCAAGGTAGCAAGAATCTGATAAAAATTAATTGTAATAATATTGTTTTATTTTTATACACATTTTCTTCTGAATTGGTAGTAAGTTTCTTTGCATTTTGTATTGTTAGTTGACATTTTGATCCTTGAACGCTTTGCAAAAAGTTTGTTAACTTAGTTTTAGAACCGCAATGGTACCCTATTTAAAAACATTTAAATCCTTTCAATGAAAACAAAATCTTTGTTTGTTTAAAATTTACCTGCTCCTGTTGATTATAGCTGTAATTTTTCAATCCAATATTTATGTCTTTTTCAAAATATGGCTAAAATAAAAAGTTTTATAACAAACTTTAATTGGTTCATAATATTACACTAAATCTAAAAACTAAATATTTACCAACTGTATTTTGATTGCTGCATTGCATTTTTTAAGGTGTTTGTCAATATTATCCTCATAAATCGAACTAAAAAATATAAAATAAATATTTAGTTTGTACGCAGTTGTTGTTTTATGATTTATATATTTTATATATATATATATATATATATATATATATATATATATATATATATATATATATATATATATATATATATATATATATATATATATATATATATATAAATCATAAAACAACAGCTGCATACAAACTAAATTTTTCTTTGTAATATTTTGACATGTTTTTGCACAGATCATCGTCATAAATGAAATATAATACAAAAAACTGTTACAAAAATTACATAAAAACGTCAAAAAAGACATTAAAAAGAAGCCATAAATGATTACAAAACAACGTAATTGAAAAATTAGAAAGTATTATTTAATTCCATTTTATTGGATAATTTTTTTATTATTATTATTGATACGCACCCAAAACGAAGCAAAATAATGATTTTTTATAAGTAAAAATGTTATAAAAAATATTTGTTATCATTTAGAGAAAATATCAAACCATTATAAAATTGATACCAAACCATTACCAAAATTATTGAAAATGTTACTAAAACATAGAATAAGCATCATTACGAAATAAAAAAAAAAGCATTTAAAAGAAAAACTTTATAAAATGACTTATAATAAACAAAAACAAACAAATGGATTGAATAAAAATATAGTTAAATCTAAAATTTTACACTCAACACAAACTCAAAAGACACACCCACAACAAATCTCCTGAATCTTGTACCAAATTTTGCACCGTTGTTTAAATAGTTACTATATATGGAAATTTTATCATAAACAATCTGATACAGAAAAGATTCGACAAAACGTGAGTAAAATTTTTTTCATCATTTATTAAAGCCTAGATTACCCAATAATGCCTTTTTGCTTCTCATCTTGCTATCAATCAAATTATGTTGCAAAAAATAAAAAATATTAATTGGAACGATTTTCATTTAATTTCTTTTTTTCTCAAAAAAGAATTGAGACTGGAATCAGGAAAAAAACACAACACTGATTTGTTGCACACGTGAAATTCAATGTTTTAAAAAAATTAAAAATAAAATCAAGTTTTGGAGAAATAGTCAAACTGCATACATACTCATTGTCTTTAACACCCTTTTCCCCTTTTGTACGTGTTCATACACTTTTGGGAAACCACCCTCCTCCCCTCATACCTGCGTATGTACTTTATAGATGGCCCCTAAACAAACAAAAAAACGAGATTATTAAACTGCTCCTTGTTTGTCAACAAAGGGAAATCTTTTAATGTGATGGTATTATATCCCTCCATTTTAATTGACAGAGCAATTCCTGTGATTATTTCGATATTTTAAACAACATTGATAATCTTAAAAAAAGAACCAAAGTAACGCTTAGTGATATTTATGCGGTAGTGGTGTAGTGGTAGAGTGCTCGATTCATAAGCAGGTAGTTTGATCTCCACCACATCCATGATAATATCACGCTCAACCTGTTTCTCCACACAGCAGCCTTGTAGAGTTGAGAGAGGGTTATAACCACAATTAGGTAGCCTACTATAGAAATGTCCTTAATAACTGTAGTCTCCGAGGCATTTTTGCAGCATTTGGAAACAAAAGCTGTTATTATTGCTGAGGTTGGTCAATTTTTATCAAAGACTTACAGAACATAGATTACAGGTACATAGATGACATGTCATGCTAGATTCAACTCAATGTAAAATCATGAAAAGTTATTGGAATTATTAAACAAACAAGATACAGCAATAAAATATACTAAAGAAAATGAAGATAAAAATATAATAGCATTAAACTTCTTGAATATAACTGTAACCAACACTAATAACTCATACTATCAAAATCCACTGAAAGTCAGCTATCACTAACATACAAATAAAGCCAACATCAAATGTTAATCCTAAAATAGTTATGAATGTTTTTAAAGGTTTTGTATCTCGTGCCATTAAAATTTGTTCCACAAAGTATCATAATAATGAAATACAGTTTTTAGTAAACATGTTTGCAGAAAATGGACACGATAGATTAAAGCTTAAAACAACTGCCAAGAACTATATTTAGAAAAGAAACAACCTTTCTAATATAAATTATAATAAAATAGAAACAAAGTTTTCATGGATCCTAAGAATAGGTTCAAAGAAATGTAGAAAACCTTATGACATCAGGATAATTTTTACTATACCACCTACATTAAAAAACATCTTATGCACCAAAAAGTCAAAATTAATTCCCTATAGTAACTCTGGTCTACAAACTCACATGCTCTTGTGACAGTACATACATCGGTAAAACAAAAAAGAATATTTTAGCGAGATGCATTGAGTATAATAAAGGTAAAGTGAGAGAATCACTTAAAATTAACTATGCCTTGACATACCAGGAAATTAAACACACTCCTATACTTCGTTTTAAAAAATTATCCAAAAAAACGAAATTAAAAAAAATTTGTTAATTTTATAATTATGTTGTTATGTTATCATTTATGGCTTCTTTTTAATGACTTCTTTGACATTTTTATGTAATACTTGTAACATTTTTTTATATTATATCTTACATTTGATCATCTTTGCAAAAACAGGTTGAAATATTACAAAGAAAAATTTAGTTTGTATGCAGCTGTTGTTTTACGTTTTAAATGTATATATATATATATATATATATATATATATATATATATATATATATATATATATATATATATATATATATATATATATATATATATATATATATATATATATATATATATATACAAGGCATAGTTGTCAAGTATGTCAAGGCATAGTTGTCAAGTATATAGGCATAGTTGTCAAGTAGGCATAGTTGTCAAGTAGGCATAGTTGTCAAGTAGGCATAGTTGTCAAGTATATACATAGGCATAGTTGTCAAGTATGTCAAGGCATAGTTAATTTTAAGTGATTCTCTCACTTTACCTTTATTATACTCAATGCATCTCGCTAAAATATTCTTTTTTGTTTTACCGATGTATGTACTGTCACAAGAGCATGTGAGTTTGTAGACCAGAGTTACTATAGGGAATTAATTTTGACTTTTTGGTGCATAAGATGTTTTTTAATGTAGGTGGTATATATATATATATATATATATATATATATATATATATATATATATATATATGTAGGTGGTATATATATATATATATATATATATATATATATATATATATATATATATATATATATATATATATATATATATATTCATGTACAACAAAATATCACATTGAAACATGGGGTGAGGGGTCACGTCACTGTATATTAAATACAAACTTTACAAAACTATAAACTTCTATAACAAGTCTTATAGTTTTTTCAAATTTTTTGGACATCTCCTTATAATCGGAAAAACAAACAATTTGGCATTATAAAAACGAACGCTATATAGAAAAGAAAATAAATTAAATTTTTCTCAAGCAAATTTTTGAAACGCAGCGCTGTAATGTTTTCAAGTCTGCAAAAAATGTTAAATATTTAAAAATGAACTAATTTCATTATACAATAATACGAGGAAAAAAATATTTATCTAAAGCAAAAAAATTATATATCAAAAAAAAGGTGCCAGAATGCCTTTCCGGTGCATTTTAGGAGAAAAAAAGCACTATATATATATATATATATATATATATATATATATATATATATATATATATATATATATATATATATATATATATACAGATATATATATATATATATAAGTATATATATCTGTATATATATATATATATATATATACATCTGTATATATATATACATATATATATATATACAGATATATATATATATATATATATATATATATATATATATATATATATATATACAGATATATATATATATACAGATATATATATATACAGATATATATATCTGTGTGTGTTTGTGTATACATATACATATATATATATATATATATATATATACATATATATATATATATATATATTATATATATATATATATATATATATATATATATATATATATATATATATATATATATATATATATATATATATATATATATATATATATATATATATATATATATATATATATATATATATATATATATATATATATATATATATAATTTAAGTGACATCTTTAATAGTATGTGTAATTATAAGCATTAAAACATCGTATACGATATCATACTATTTATTTCTTTTCTCTATAAGTGATATTTCGGCTCATATAGTAAGAGCCATTATCAAACTAATAAAACCGTTAAAAAAACCGTTTAAAAAATTATAATAAACGTAAACAAATGATGTCATTGCAACGTCAGATTTCAACATTTTTTAATTTTACAAAAAATGGTTTCCAATGGTGAGTCATCACCAAATTGCCATTGTCCCGATTTAAAACGTTTTCTTTAGGTTTTGAACATTGTACACGTTGTATTTCAATAGCCTCACAAATTTTTCTGATGTAGCTGTTTGAAATAACAGAAAGCATTTTAAGGTTCTCCCAGTTTTTTATTTTGCCATTACAATGTTGTGAGTGTTCTACTATTCCTGATGTTTCCCAATTGGTTTTTGCAACATTACTTTTATGTTCTTGAATTCGTGAGGAAATCTTTTTTCTTGTTTCACCAATATAATATGCAGCACATGTGCAATTAAGTTGGTACACTCCTGGATGTCTATTCGGAGGCAGTTTAGACTTGTTACGGCAAAGTATGATTATAGGATTACCAAAACGGAAGACTGTTTTAACGCCGACTTTACGAAATTCTCTTCTAAGTACAAGGCCTAACTTTGGGACCCATGGTAAAATAACTAGATTTTTGGTATCAAATTTTTGAGAACAAGATGGATTTGTAGAGTATTCATAATTTTTAGCAATATCTGAATACTGTTTAAAGGAATGTCCATTTTCAGTAAAAATCTTAATAAGAAAATTAATTTCATCCTGAATGTTATGTTCTGAACAAATTTTGTATGCTTGAGCTAAAAATACCAACAGCGATATTTAGTGAAATAGATGATTTCGGTTTTTTAAGTACGTTTGTAATTGCATCTTTATGGTGTATGGAAAACTCATATTTGTGAAGAGAGTGATTGGTTGAAATACAAACATCTAAAAAATTTAATTGGTGTTGAGTATTATCGCATTTGCATGTATATTGAATAGATTTATCTTGTGAATTTAAAAGTGTTAAAAAAAGAATTTGCATCATCAATATTAGTAAATCGAGCATGGCTATCATCAACGAATCGTTTATAAGTTTTTGGTGCATTTTTTTTTTGACGTTTAGAGCTTGTTGAATAGCATTAGATTCAATATGTTGTAGATATGCTTCTGACAAGACAACCATTATGGATAGACCTATTGGACCAGAGTTTTTTAAAATATATATTTTGTCACCTCCATAAAAATACCTTTCTTTTTAACGGTTTTATTAGTTTGATAATGGCTCTTACTATATGAGCAGAAATATCACTTATAGAGAAAAGAAATAAATAGTATGATACCATATATGATGCTTTAAAGGGATCCCAAACTCCCAACACATGTTGTGTTCATATTAAAGATAATGTTAAAAAAAAAGGTTTGAACCAAATTTTTTTGATTAAAAATAAATAATGCATACCGTGAAAAACAAATGTTGTTGTTTTTGCCGAAGCTCGTCTTCTCCATTTTTTCAACTACTCAGAGTCTTCAAATTATGCGTCGCAATCTACAGACTTTGGCAATTCCTTTGAAGTGCGTTTAATTCATAAAAGTTTTAGTATTTGATGTCACGGTAGACTTTTAACAAAAGAAACTCTGGAAATATTTTTATTTATTTTTAGTCGACGTTTTTTTGGTTATTTGTTTAGTTTTTTTTTTTCTACTTTTAATATTTAAAAAGATATTAAAAACCTTAAATATTTTATGCTGGTTCATTGCTATAAATTGTTATTGCGCCATATATTTAATGTTTATAAATTATGAATATTTATCTCAAAATTTTTATCTCAAAAATTGTTTTACATTAATTACCCATATAAAATTAGTAACAGCTTTTTTATTTGGTTAGACGATATTTCGTTTCAATTTGCTTTGCATGAAGTTCGGAAAGTCAAACGAAAAAAATAAGTTTGAATAATCACGTCGAAATATATTTAAAACAAATTATTTTAATGACAGGGGTTCTAAAGTTTTTTATAACAAATGTAGGTAAAAAAATAAATAACTAAATAAAAAGTTCAGTATTAAACACCTTTTCTTTATTATATTGCAACTGTAAATATCGAATTATTAACTTGAACTAAATTTACTTATTATTTAGAACGACTAAGCAATAAAAGTAAAATGCCCCTAAAATGATGCGAGATTGTGTTGTTTATTTGATAACTGTTGTTGGTAATGTTGTTTATGTTGATTATTTTCATAAATATCAAAATAGTTCCAGATTAATCTGTTCGTTGCTTTGCTAATTGTTGATTTATTTCTAATTTAATTTTATCTCAAACTATAATTATATGTTAAAAAAGAAAAGTTTCTATTTCATCGGGCGCTCTTTTTATAAAAGAGTAGAACAAAAGAGAAAGAAAAGTTTTGCGTAATTAAACTTTGAATGAATAAGAGTTGTATAGAATATATATTTTTTTTGCGTCACTCGTTCTTTTTTTAGATGAGAGAAATAAAAGTTTAATAGTAAATTTTCTTTGAATAAATGAGAATTGGAAGAGAAAATTGCTTGAAAATTTGTATTTGTTAATTGTGTTTTTAAAATTTTTTAATTTTTCATGTTAAGAGACAAATGCCAATAATAATATAATATGTTTTTTAATGCGCGTTATGACATTTTAACAATTTAAATTACCATCTATCTTGAATTATTGCCTTTAATCAATGTGTTAATTATTGCGTTATTTAATAATAATTTGTCCGAATTTTTGTTAAATATTAGTTGTATAAAACGGGCAAAAATATACAAACTTCATGTTTTTTATTTGATGGTTATAAAATATTGAACAGTAAACTTATAATTAAAATTTATAATGCCGACTTGTGTTGCAATTAATTGTACTTTTAATGCAAAATCAGGATCTCACATATCCTTTCACGAATTTTCATATCTGATACTACTGTCAACTGTATTGTTTAGTGTATTCTTGTACTTTTTTTTCATAATCTTAACAGGTTCTAATTGGTATGGAGTTGCTGACATTTTAAAAATTTCATTATCAAAAATCAAATGTAAAATAAAATAGTATTTCTTTTTTATCCGTATCTTTTTATCCGTAATTCAGCAAATTTAACAATTTAAATAAAATCAGCGTGATCAAAAAAATTTTATAATAAAAAAAGTTAATAATTCATTAAATATCTCTAATTAATACTGTCAGTTTATGAAAGTAATTGTTAATAAATACTTTTTTTTCAACGGGAAAACAAAAAATTGTCATAGCGTAAAAATAACCAAAGAAGTTAGAAAATAGTTCCCATTGTTTAAATAAAAATAATTAAGAATCAGAATATATAATACTGCGCTCTCTTGCGCAAAAACAAGAGACCGTATATAAAATGTTCTATATAATGTAAAATACTTGTATGAAAATCATGAGATTGATAAGTAAAGCTTTAATATTTGTTTTAATTTAAATAATTAAAGAAATATAAGTAAGATATATAAATCTAAAAATTATTAAGATATCTGTAAAAAATAAGTTGCTCCTATAAAATAAAAATAATTTATTGTTTTTACTTTTTACAAATTTTTTTTTGCGATGTTTGGAAAAATAATACAAATAAATTTGTTTTGCTGTATGTTAAAAAAATACTACAGTAGAAAAACGCAGCTTAGTTTAATTACACTTTTCTTTTGTTAAAAGTCTACCGTGACGTCAAATACTAAAACTTTTATAAATTAAACGCGCTTCAAAGGAATTGCCAAAGTCTGTAGATTGCGACGCATAATTTGAAGACTCCAAGTAGTTGAAAAAAATGGAGAAGACGAGCTTCGGCAAAGACAACAACATTTGTTTTTCACGGTATGCATTATTTATTTTTAATCAAAAAAATTTGGTTTAAACCTTTTTTTTTAACATTATCTTTAATATGAACACAACATGTGTTGGGAGTTTGGGATCCCTTTAATGCTTTTATATATATATATATATATATATATATATATATATATATATATATATATATATATTATATATATATATATATATATATATATATATATATATATATATATATATATATATATACATATATATATATATATATATATATATATATATATATATATATATATATATATATATATATATATATATATATATATATATATATATAATTTTGGTTATTACAGTATAGCATTGATGAAGTCTCTTCATTAATGAGATTGATCCATAAACCTATAAGCACAAGTTCTCATGCTTAGTGAAATGTAACTACCATTCTGTTTGTTTACAAATCTGGACATCAATATTATAACTCTTATCAACAGGATAGCATCAAAAGGGTCATCCATAACTTACATCACACTCTAAGGATGAGGGTAGGGGTGGGGGGAAGGTAAATGGCTTTGTGAAGTCTCATACGGGACTTGTTACTAAAGTGCTACGATTTGTGATGAGGAGGGCAAGGAGTCAAAAACTTTCAAAATTGCGTGACGTAATTTATGGACAACCCCAAAGCTCTTCCTTGCAGTTGAATAAAGTGCCTCATGTTCAGAGCATTACAGTTTTTAAAATCTGCTTTAAAACCACATAATGTTAAGTTTTAAAAAGAAAATACTGCAGCACATTTTACGCAGGTATGGCAGCCAGTATGTTGTTAGTTTAACTCATGTCCTTGGTCAAAAATAAATCATTGATCCAGTGGCGTGCTTTCTAAAATAAAAAGCTTTTAGCATGGGCCATAACCTTTTTATCGCAGAAGGCCCTTTGGAAAAAAAATATTTACTTTATTCTTTAAATAAAGAATAACCGAGAGTGTGTTGATGCTGTAAGGTGGTTTGAGTACATATAACTTAAACATGCAGATGATGAGGTATTCACATGTAAAGAGATGTTTTAGGAGGGAAATTTAGAGGTTGAAGAAAGAAAAAAGATAATTCTATAAAAATAATATGAAAAAGCTTTAGTAATGGAAAAAAATGATGTTCAAAATATTGGAGATACAGCATTATAAGTCCAATCCATGCAAGAACAAAAATATTTGGTCTTTTTTTTTTTATGACAAATGGCTCATTTTTCTATTCAATATGGAGTATACATTAAGTAATAAATTATTTTTGTAGTATTTTTTTTTTCAATATATGTATAAATTTTTAATATTAAAATTCATAACAAAAATAAACAAACAATTATATTTTGAATTTTAATATAGTTATAGTTATAAATGAAATGAATAACTTTAGAACTGTACAATCAACAACTTTAGAACTGTACAATCTTATACAGTATCAGTATAATAGTAACTTTTTTCTTTCTGAAAGAAAACAAAACATTGATTGTAATAGCAATATTACTTTTAAACATGTTTCAAGAATACTAAATATATTGAGAAAAAAAACTATTTTTGTAATATACTGCATATTATAGCAGTGAGCACTATTTTAAAGGGGTGTATAGTAAAGGTGAAAAGTAACCTTGTTGAAATAGATAAAGTTGCATTGTTTGTGAAAAAAACCTTGTTTTATTGTAATAATTGCTATATAGTAATAAAATATACCTAAATATTTGTAATCCACTAAACTAAAGATATTTTGCTTGTTATGTAACGTTATGTAAAAATTTTAAATTTAAATTTCAGTTTTCAAATTTCATTAAAAAATAAACTTTATACTTACTGTTTTTTATCCAAAGGACACAAAATTCTTTTTCTTTTAGCATCGTTCTATGAAATATTAAAATCACAAATATAAGAAGTATAACTTATAATAAATTCATTAATTCTATTGCTTATAAATACTAATCCATTATATTACTTTTCAAGTTAATTTAATAATTTTATAATAAATTCATTAACTTCATTGCTTATAAATTTTAATTCATGACATTTTTTTTTTCAAGTTAATTTACTGATTTTATAATAAATTCATTAACTTCATTGCTTATAAAAATTAATTAATTACATTACTTTTTTTTTTAAGTTAATTTACTGAAGTCAACTTTAACAAACTTCAGTTTAGTTTTTGTGTTGATCATTAAGTAACTTAGGTAACATGATGACATTTGAACAACCTAAAACTTAATTTAGTTTCTTTACTTTTTATATTTGGTTTACCCTCTTTATTAGTCAGTTAAAAGTAAAAAGACTATATAAGAAGTGAGCACAAATGGAAGCACTGATTTCTGATTTAAAAAAATAGACACTGTGAACAGATAAAAAAACAAAACTTGAAAAAAAAAAATTATTTTGTAAAAAGTCAATTGGTCTAATCTTCTGAATACCAGAAGAATCTATTGAATACCAGATGTCAGAAAATATATTTTTATAGTTTACATGTCGAAAATTCATATGCTAAGAAAAATAACTTTTTGTCTTCTCTATTCATTGATAATATCTAAAACTTGTGAAGAAGTTGAAGATGAAACAAATAATTACCAATATTATATATTAAGCTTTAAGCTGCTATTTTTCTTTTATGTTATTTGTGGCTTTGTGCTTTAAAGTGTGTAAAAAAAAAACAGTAATAAAAACTTGAAATCAAAACAACACCTAGAGTTGCCTCAGAATTAGAATGAGAAAAACTCATTCTGTTAACTAATTCTTTTTATGCAGGCAGAAAAGACTTTAAAAAAAATACATTTCACATTGAGTTGTGGGTATTTTAGGTTTTTCAAAGAGATTTTAAATTTAAAATTTTAGGAAAATTTTAAGATAATTATTTTTAATTATTAGACACAAAAAAAAAGATTTATTAAAAAAAAAAACTTAAAAACTAATTTAAAAAAACTTGTAATTTTTTGCAATAAAATGTTTATTTGGTTTACACAATATTGTTATTTAAGTTGAATTAATAATAAATTAATGTTTCAAAAACATAAACGTTATCTAAGCACTAAATATTTGAACATTTTTTTTCTTAGAAACAGTTTAAAACATTGAAAATAAAAGATTTAAATAACACTTAAAATTTTTTGATCTGTTTGAAAAAGCTTGGTTCAGAAATCACTTAAAATTATTTGATCTATTTGAATGACCACCCTATATAAGCGTATAGGATGGTCATAAAAATTTCTGGCAAAAAATAAAAAATTAAAGTTTTAAAAACTGTTAATATAAAAAATGAAACAAATAAAAAGTAAATAAAATATTACAATTTTTTAAACAAAGTTTACTGTTTTTCTTTATCTTTTAATATAAAAAGTTAGATACTTTTTGAACATTCTTTATCTTTCAGAATAGTCTTTTATATATTATCAGAATATATCTTTATTTACCAGAAGAGTAACATTTTTTTATTGATTACATGTCCCATCAAACCATTGGCAGTAAATGACTATCTAATAGAAAAACTTTCCACAGTTTTATAACAAATGAAAAGTCTGAAAATCACTGCAAAGATCACGATTGAAAAAGTTCAACTTTTTTTGCAGAAAGGTACAAATACTATCTACTAAGTATTTATAAGGTATATCTCAAAGCACAAAATTTTAAAAATTGTATCTAAAAGCACAAAATTTTAAAGGTTGTATCTCAAAGCATAAAATTTTAAAGGTTGTATCTAATAGCACAAAACTGGATGATATTTCACTGAACTTCATGATGATATTTTTACTGAATTTCTATTATAAACTGCCAACTCTAAAACTCTTTCATTAATCACTGCAGCAGCTCAATCATTGTCCACTATAATGATATTATAGCATTATTACTAAATAGTGTTTTTTGATTTTTAATGACAAAAATAGACAACTTTAAAACCTTATAACATTTTTCTAACAATCAACAAGTGTCTCATTTTTTCCATAAATATTTTTTGTTCTGTCCTAAAAATAGTCTTATTATTAACTTGTATCATATTAGAAAAAGTTATAAACTTTTAATACTGCAAAAAAACTGAAAAATTCTAAAAAAGGAAAAATAACATTTTTATCTTCATCAAGTCTATACAGGTTTTCTGATTAGTTACTATTGTCTGCAATAATTAGTTACTATTGTCTGCAACAATTAGTTACTATTGTCTGCAATAATTAGTTACTATTGTCTGCAATAATTACGCAAAATATAAACATATACGTTTATAAAAGCAATACATTTTTACACATTCAGCTAAAAAATTTTCAGCCATTTTGAGATAAGATCATGAAGCTAAAATGAAAACATTTTCAATTTTTTATGTTTTTAACAAAAATGGCAGCATTTTTTATTAACCCTATTTTTCAATTATCAATAAGTATTTTAATAGGTTTTATGTTAAACAATTTTTATATAAAATAATAATCAATATCTAGATAATGTATACTTAAAATAATTCCCAGCCTTTTATAAACAGCTGACACAAACAACTATCTTTAAAACGTGTTATCTTTCCAGAATTCACCAAAACAACTCACTCAGCAAGCAATATTTGTTGACTTTAGTGTAATAATGTATCTTTCAGCAAATTTCTTTTAAAAACTATCAAATTGCTGCTCATTGATGATACATAAGCTTTTAAACAGCATGATTGTAAGAAATCATTATATAAGCAAATTTTTTTGATAGCAGGGAAATTTTATAGACATTTTACAAGTACTTCATGTGTAAAATGGTACTTTGGAATAAAGAGTCAACTATGCTTGATAGTGTCATTCTCTCATAATTTTCTCATTCTCTCATCATTGATGGTGTCATAACTCTCATTCAACAACTTATACTGAATCCACTTTTTTATTTTCACTGCTGTAACCACATATTGTATATTATTGTTTAACATGCAGTAACAAAAAATACATTCTTCTTTGGAATGAAGCTAATACTGATGCTGTGTATTGTAACCACCAGTCTTGGTCAGGTAAGCATGTGATCATAGAATATTATATGATAAATAATTTTGTTTGTGATTTTTTTTAAAACCCGTATAAACATATAACTCAAAAGATTTTTGAAGTATATGTTAGAAGTAAATAATATCAAAACTTTTATCTTAAATAATTTTTGTATTAGCAAAACAATTTTAAATTTAATAAATTTTTATTTATATTATATAACTTATATAAGTATGCATTCTTTTAAAAAAATATATAATTTTTTTAATTATTTCAATTTTATAAAAAACAACTTTTTTGTCAACAGTCTCTTTAGATTTCATTGAAAAAAAAGACAAATGTTTTTGAAAACTGTGAATTAAACTTTGATCTTTACTACTATTTTTATATTAATGAAACAATTTTAGAAAAAGTAACATGTCACTGCTAATGAAATTTTTTTTACTTTACAACTTTACAAAGATTTCTGACAAGAAAAAGAGCAATTTTATCTTTTTATTGAAATAAAAATTATTTATTTTTTCTTTTATATTACTACAAAGAATTTTTTTTTTCAATCTTTTTTGTTTACTTTATTTACTTAACATTTTAAAGAACAAAATATTTTCCTTTTATTATGCATTACTTATTACAAATAAATGTATATTCAAAAAATATGTTTAAACAAAGCATGAAATGGTTTAAAAATGAGTTAAATTTTTTTTTTCTTTCTTAATGCTTATTTATTATTCTTAATAATTATTTACTCAATTGCATTTATATGGAAACTTACCAATTTTAAATTAGTATAAAAAAAAACAATTTAAATTTAGTGTGTGTATTTATTAAACAATCGCTAGAAGTTGTTACTTTATTTTAGTATTTTAGTAAGTGTTACCCATACCCATATAAAAAAATTAGTAAAGATAAAAATTCAAAGTTAATTATTCCAAACGTAATTAAATACTTGATTTAAATAGTGTTTGTAGTGTTTTGGTTTTAAATGATCTCAGAGTTTTATTTTAGTTGAGTTAAATTTTTCATTTTTGTGTTTTAGTTTCATGTTATTTTGTTTTTTAGTTTTATGTTCTTTTTTGTGTTTTCCTTTTATGTTCTTTTTTGTGTTTTAGCTTTATGTTCTTTTTAGTGTTTTCGTTTTATGTTCTTTTTTGTGTTTTTGTTTTATGTTCTTTTTTTTGTTTTTGTTTTATGTTCTTTTTTGTGTTTTAGCTTTATGTTCTTTTTTGTGTTTTCGTTTTATGTTCTTTTTGTGTTTTAGTTTCATGTTCTTTTGTGTTTTAGTTTTATATTCTTTTATATTTTAGTTTTATATTCTTTTTTGTTTTTTAGTTTTTGAAATGCTGAATTTTTCAAAGCATGATCACAGCTGTGGTGAAATCATTAAAACAAAATATTATTGGTATATTCATATAATGACGTGCAATCGCACACCTTCCTGACCACAACTGCGACCAACAGCCTCAAATTGTACTTTTAATTGTTTGTATTTTGATAGTCACTTTGCTGATAAATGATATCTGTAAATCATGTTCTGTCAAACCTGTAGAAGTCACTTACCGAGAACTTCATGAATATAATTTTGTTTAATTTTTCTTAAAAGGGCAGGGTGAAAACTACTTTATTTTAAAACTTCTCCTGTTATACCCAAAGTTTGTTCTATATTATAAAATAACACTGGATTTAAAAAATTTTTATATAAAAAAATTTTAAGGGTTCTTAACTGACCCTTGAATATTTAAAGAGTTTCTAATATTATCTGACAAAACATTTTTCAAAAGCATGTCAAGATTCAAATAAAGCAAAACTTTATAAAAGTTTTAAAATAATATTTTTTATAATTACTAACATTATTATTTAAATAATTATATGTGGTTTTGCTAAAAATTATAAATGTTATAAAATGGCAATAATGAAAATATAATAGTGTATAGTACTTCATGTATCAAATATATTTGTTTAACTAAAATTTTGTATTGTATTGTCTTATTTTACTCACAGGCAATTCTGAAGGGTCTACCTATATAAAAATATTTTAGTTGCAAGGCTGCATATAGTATACAAATAGTATTTTTATACTATATGCAGTATACAAATACTATTTGTATACTATATGCTAGAACAGTGCTAACCTAAATCTGCTAAAGTGTATATAAATACATATAAAATTTATATGAAATAAATAACATCAATACATACATTAATTAATTTCAAAAGACAATAAATGAACAATATAAATAAAAACTATTTACGAACAATTATTCACAGATTTTATATATTTAACTTATACATTAAATTAAATTAAGTGTATAACTGAATGGAATATAAAAATCAAAAAATTTGATCTTTAAATTTTAAAAATCGTACAAAGAATCAACAGCAACAGGGAAAATATTTGGGTTATTGATTAAAAGATAAATTGAGCCAAACTTTTAAGGACAAGACTTTATCATCTTAAAAAAATAAGTATAAGTTCAAGATATTTACACATAAATTTCTGATTGTTAAAAATTAACGATTGTTTTAAGGTAAACTTTTCTAGAGTAAAAATATTAAAGTAATAAAAACAGTAAACAGAATGATCTAAACTGGGCACAAGAAAGAGAAAACTATTAAAACAAGTTTTGTTTAGAACAAATATAATAAAAGAGGAATAAAGGCTTTCAAACTGTTAAAAAAAAATTTCAACAAAATAAAAAGTGTACACCCTTCATGCTCTGCACAGTGTTTGAGAAACATTTCAGTTTTAGTTCTGTATTACAACGAGATAACAGTAAGAATTAAGGTAAAACAAAATTGAGTTTTAAAAGTAGACATGAAACAGTTAAAAATCTAATAAATATTTAAACACAAAATATCTGCTATAATTTGTAATTATATGTTCTAAAAACCTTTATAAAAATTTTTTAAAGGGAATAATATCTTTATTATTTGAATTTCATGCCTAATATTACAATAAATGTTCTTATATCCAAAGATATCGTTGGCTTAACTTAGGAATAGCCATAAATAGTCATAAAGACTAAACCAACTGAGCTATCCAGCCACATAATAATAAATATTTTACTACCTCTAAAAGATAATACATCACCAACAACAACAAAAGTATAATACCTCATTAATGACCACTAACAACTTCATTAACAACCCTTTAACGACCCTTTAACAACCTTTTAACAACCTTACTAATAACTCTTTAACAACCTTATTAAAAACCCATCAACAACTTCATTAACAACCTTATATTATTCTTGTTAACCCTTTAACAATCTCATTAACAACTTATTTAAAATTTTATTACTCTTTTTCAACTTTATCCTTGGACAACTTCAATAGCTTTTAATAATATCATTAACCCTTTAACAAACCTCATTAATAACAACTTTTTAAAAACTTTACAAATCATGTTTAATTTTAATTTGGAAATCTGGTAAAAGTGCAACTTTTTTAAGTGAGGTTTTTGAATGGGTTTTGTTATTAAGTACAAAGAACCTAAATCCATGCAGAAAAAAAGTTTCAAGCAAACCTACTGTGCAATTTGAGCCATTAAAGTCAAACTGCATAGGATAAAAAAAAATTTGACATGTACTGAACTGCTAAATTTTTTAGAAGAATATAGTTGATACTAAATGCTACCATACCAAAATAATAATTTAGGGTGTCAAAAGCATTTTTTGCAGTAAAAGAAGTTTTACCAGAAAAACAAATAAAGATTAACAAAATTTTTTTTTTTTTTTTTTGTCTTCAGATCTTTTTTTTCTTTAACAACCAGTAAACAAAAAACTTGAATTTTAAATTTGAACGATGACAATTTAAAAATTGTGAAGAAAAAATAAGTTCACTATAAAAACTTACTTTTTTTTTTTTTGCTTGAGAGTTCTCAAGTTTTTATTTGACTCCAAGCCACTCATGTATGATGTATTTAAATAATTTTGGTAAAGTAATTCCCTAATTTCCTTTGAAAGAAGTTTTCACTTTGCCGAGACATATTTTTCTATTTATTATCTAAAAGTTATTAGAAACATATTATCTAAAAGTTATTAGAAACCATTTTTTATGTCCACTTTGAACACTGTGCAGTCTTTTTTTTTTTCAAACATTAATAGCCCTTAACAACTATATTTCTTTAGCAACCTTAGTATCAAACTCAAAACTCTTTTAAAAACTTTGTTAACAATCTTTTAACCCTTCAACCCCCCCCCCCCTTATTAGTAAACTTATTAAAAACCTCATTAATAATTTACTTTAATTGAACATTAAAAATACTTTTATTAATAAAATTTTTGGAAATAAATTACTTTAAAAAGACAACAGTTGTAGCTTCATTAGAAATTTAATGTTTTTCAAATTTACAAGGTTTGCTTACTTGACTATTTTCTTGAAACAAATGTTCTGCGCAATACGTTTGACCCTTGGGAGGCATCATTTTACAAAAGCGTTGTTTCCTTTTGACAAAGTATCCACATCTTCCTTCTACAGGTGGTTTAATATTATTGCAAGAGAAAATTTTGAATGTAGATGTATCCATTCTATATATAATAGTAACAAAAAATACAAAAACTGTATTTAAAATGTATCAATTTAAATAATTTAGATTTGAATAATGGTTTAGATTTGAACAGGTAACATCTAGATATAAAGAAATTTTAATGCAGCAATAAAAAAAAACAAATGTTAACAAAATACTTTTTGTTAACCTTTGTTTTTTTTATTTTTCTGAAAAAACTGGTTTTAAGTTGGCATTTAAAACTTCAAATATGAAAAATATATTTAAAAATTGCTGACTTAAATCAACAAGTGTTCTTATGAACATAAGTCTTGTTATGAACATAAAATGAATAACTCATCAAGATAATGGGATTTGCTAAAAAGTTCCTTTTATTTGTGTTTAAAGACATTAACATTTTTAAATGTAATTCCCATGCAAAACAATCTGATTGAAAACTTAACTCAATGTAGGAATATTATATTTTATAAAATGTAGGAATGTTATATGTAAAAATTTTACTTCCAGTTTTTTAAAATATAAAATAATTTTTTTCTTTACTTATTATTGACACTACTTTATTATAGCACTACTAAATAGTTTTTGTTCAAAAAAAAGTAACATAAAAATCAATATAAAAATCAATATTGGATAAAAAACATTGTGAATCATCATGTATGTATGTGTGTGTGTATATATATATATATATATATATATATATATATATATATATATATATATATATATATATATATATATATATATATATATATATATATATATGTATATATATATATATATATATATATATATATATATATATATATATATATATATATATATATATATATATTGTATTATTGCAACATAGTAATGTTTTAAATTGGATTAAAACCTTCCTAATAAACCAAAGAGACTGATTTTTCATGATCTAAATAAAAATTTCTTATGATCTAAAGCCATTCATCATGACTACTCTGGCGGTACTTTAAAATTTAAAAAAATCTGGTAGCTTGTGAGGAAACTGCATAGGTCATTGCTTAGGATGTCGTGCACTATTTTTAATTAAGTCAAGTTCTTCAATAACTTAACATAAATAAATAAAAATAACATGACTTAAGTACCTTAAAATATTAAACATTAAAATCTTTGTTAAAAGTTACTGGGTGGTAGATGTTCGAATTTCTGATGACTTAAAATCAAGCATTAATCATTGCTATTGAATGGATATTTTAATTAAATGTTTTAAAGTAAACTATTGAATGATTATTTTACTTAAAGAATATTTTACATTTTTGTTAACATCAAAGAAAAAAACTGTATCTTTTTTTTAATTTTATCTTATGAATTATGCATATTTATTACATATGATTTATGTATTATTGTGATAAAAATTTGTCAAAAATAATTTTTACAACAGATGCTGTTTTCCAGAAAAAAATGTTTTCCTAAAGAATTGTGCTAATAGTTTATCGATTCCTTTAAGCCAGTTGACCCAGGTAATTATAGACCTATCTCCTTGACATCTACTTGTTGTCGTGTAATGGAAAGAATCATTAATAACAAACTGATTAATTATCTCTTACTCAATAACCTAATCACAAAAGAGCAGCATGGTTTTATTCGTAAACATAGTACCTGTACTAATATTCTAGAAAGTCTTCATGACTGGACTTTAAATCTTCAGCGCCGTATTCCAACAGATATTATTTATTTTGATTTTAAGAAAGTTTTCAATTCAGTTTCACATCCTAAGTTACTAATGAAATTACCTGCTTACGGAATAGTTGGCAATCTTCTGAATTGACTAACTAATTTTCTGCACATGAGATCACAGGTGGTAAATTTAAACAATGTTACTTCCCATGCTATATCTGTAACAAGCGGTGTTCCACAGAGGAGTGTTCTTGGACCTACTCTATTCTTATTGTTTATAAATGATGTGAGCCACATTAATAAACAGCTTGATGTCAAACTTAAACTTTTTGCTGATGACATTAAATTATATTCAGTCTATGATGTACGTGGCCTTCAGTCAGACCTTCACACAGCTGTTAATTGTTTGTATGAATGGAGTTGCACTTGGCAACTCCAAATAGCAACTGAAAAATCCTTTGTCTGTACTATTGCTAACCAGAGTCAAAACATAGCCCAGCGTGTTTACACCATAAATAACCATGAACTTGCCCATGTTAACTGTATAAGAGATCTTGGTGTTACCATTGATAGAAATTTCAAATTCAATCAACATATAAATCTATGTCAAGAGCTTTTCTTATTTTAAAATCTTTTTATTCACGAGATAGATTGCTGATGGTTAAAGCCTACTGTACTTATGTACAACCTATGCTTGAATATTGCTCTTCAGTATGGTCACCTTACACTATTTGCCTGATTAATAAAGTTGAGAAAGTGCAGCGTTTCTTCACTAAAAGAATTGCTGGTCGGTGGACACTTATCATAGTTTCCTATGATAAGCGTCTAGCCATACTAAAGCTTAACACGTTAGAATATCGACGAGTGTTTAAAGATTTAGTTTTATGCTACAAAATTCTTAACGGTAAACTGGACACTAACCTATCAAACATTCTTATTCTCAATTCTTACTTGAATAATCGCGGTCATAACTTTAAACTGTACAAACACCATTGTAGTTTAAACAGCACAAAGTGTTCCTTTTCTAATCGAATTGTTAATGTATGGAATAGTTTATCGAAGGATGTGGTGTCTGCATCGTCTGTCTTGATGTTTAAGAAACGTCTTGCTGTACTGCTTTGTTCAAGTTAATACAATTTTGTTGTAACTTGTCCAGCACTTGATACAATTTAACATTTCAGTAAAAAAAAAAAAAAAAAAAAATTGTTAATGTATACTCAGTGTTAGTGGCCTTCGAGTCCTTCTGTTGTTTTCAAATAAATAAAATAAAAACAAGATTTAAAAACAAGAAAACAAAATATTGACAAATATTTTAGTTACGTGAATATTTAAATAGTCTTTAAAGCTTAGCTTTTGTGAAGATGTAAAAATATAAACTTATAATACTTATATAAACTTATATAAAATTATGTAAAAATAAACAAACTTATATTCCATAAGAAAAAAGCAAAAATGTTAAATTGTTATAAAGCTTACTTTTCATGACTCCTCTTCTTCCTTCTTTAACTTTTTTATTTTCTTATTATATTCAAACAAATATTTTGGTTCAAAAATGTAAACTCCACTAGCAATGCCAAGTGCAATTACTAAAACTACTCTATCCCATAGGACTCTACGCATAATACAGCTTATTTTAGTAGTAAAAGCGCCTAACAATAGCATAGTTTATAAAATATTAGTGGATATTTTAAACTGATTTATAATTGTTTTCAATTTAACTTTTATGTGTATATATAGCTATATACAATCAATAAAATAAGGTGAGTTAATAAATAAGTTTAAATAAGGTATGATAACTACTATACAACAAGAATCTTAGAAGGTAGAAGGATGATGATGATGATGATGATGATGATGATGATGATGATGATGATGATGATGATGATGATGATGATGATGACAATGATGATGATGACAATGATCATATAATCATAGCACAGATCAACAAAAAACAAACATTTTTTTTACTGCTGAGCAACCAACACTTTTTTTGTATAGCATTTTTCATTTTGATTTCAAATATACAATTCATTTTTCACCATTACACTAAGTTGTAAAGATATTTAGGTTCAAATCTTTAGCATTTAAGTTAAAATCTCCAATATTGTCTAAAAATTATAATTCAAAATTATGTCAATTTGGGTCTCAAAGGAAGACTTGTAAAACAATTCATTTTTACTACAAACAAATATTATTTTTAAAATCTCTATAAAAATATGCTTTGGAAGTTGACATGCTTTTAAAAATTCCTATTGTCAAAAAAAAAATTTTTGATAAAATTAAAGATTTTACCTAAAGTGCTAAAGTTTTGACCCAAATATCTAAGTTATAAATATTGTTACAACTTCACTTAATAGTTAAAAATGAGTTGCATATTTGAAATCAAAATGAGAAATGCTATATTAAGAATGTATTTTTTGCTTCGACACCAAAAGAAAAGAAAAATTTTTGTAGGACTATATAATTTAGAACAAGAATTGATATTAGTTATTTTTACACTGATGATACTAAATTTATAGATGAATATATTAGTTTTTCTAATTTTATGCTCAGTAAATAGCAAAGCTGCTACATTTGATAGTAATTCTACTTTCAAAATGTTGCCTAGTAAGCCAGATTGACAAGCTTATGGCTATTCCATTTAACTCAATATGAACAAAGGGTAGATTATTTACTTCAAAGAGTAAAAGTACCTTTTAGTATTTTTAATTGTTCTGTATTTCATGAATGTATTGCTTATGAAATTGATCTTTTTTACAATAACATAAAATGTATGCAATCATGTCAGCCACAATGTATGTGGCTGACATGATACCTCATAGGGGTTTAAAAGTAAATTCTGAATTTAATGTTTCCGGATGAAATGACTATGTTGCAGATAAACACAATTTTGCCAAGGATGTATTCAAACAATTGGTAATTGATAGAAAACCTAAACATGGAATTACCTTTGAAAGAATGAAAAAAACTTAGGCAGTATTTAAACTTGCTTTTAGGCACTGTAATAATTATACTGAGTAAATTAAAGCTGACAGATTTGCAGAAAATATCAATAAAAACGATCCTTTAAAGTTTTGGAACAGTGTGTATGAAATTAGTAATGTAAAGGCAACCAACCATGTTGCTAGTATTGGCGGACTTACTGGTGACAAGGACATTGCCACAATGTGTAAGACACATTTTCAAACACTATATAATTCACTGATAACCAGCATAGAATACAGTTTGAACAGAAAGTATATTCTTCATTGCTAGACATACCTGTAAGAGTTACTATTATAGATGTTACTAATGCTTTGCATAAGCAAAAAAGGAGAAAAGCTGCTGGACCAGATGACTTGTTTATGGAATCATTTATATTTGGAGGACATAGACTGTCTCTAAGTTAAAAAATGCTTGTTGTGTGAACATTTGCCATCAACGTTTTGTGAAGCCATGATAATACCTTTAGTAAAATCAAAAATTGAAGACTTAACAGATTACAGAGTAATCGCAATCTCTCCAACTTGTTCTAAAATACTTGAAGGTATTTTATTAGAAAGAATTGAATCTCATGAGAATGCTGATGATTTTCAGTTTGGTTTCAAGAAAAATCATTCCAAATTGTCTTATTATTATGTACATATTATTTAAAAAAGACAGTTGAATACTATATTTCTAGAGGAAGCCATGTACTCATATGCTTTATAGATTTCAACAAAGCTTTTGATAATGTTGACTATTGGAAACTATTTTCTGAATTAATTTATCAGGGTATTGCCAAGAATCTTGTCTGTCTACTTGCATCATAGTACAAGAATCAAACAATGTTTGTTAGATGACATAAAGTAAACTCTGATAGCTTTAACATAAGCAATGGTGTACGGCAAGGTGGAATTCTTTCATCGTTCTTGTTCATATTTTATATAAGAAAACTGATTTTCAATATTATAAATATGCATATTGGATGTAACATAGGTGGAACTTTTTTGAATCTTTTCGCATGTGCCGACATTGTACTAATTGCTCTATCTTGGTTTGCATTGCAAAAATTATTAACTGCTTTAAATGTTGAAGCCACTGCCATTAACATGTCATTTAATACAAAAAAAACGGTGTGTACGGCATTTAATCCAAAACAGAGATGTAAGATTAAATGTTTTTATTAGCACATAAACAAATGCTTGATTATATTAAAAGTGCAGCTATTTAAGACCTACTGCCTTTTTTTTTATGATGTGACTCCGTAGACTAATTTTAGTGCAAATACTATGTTAAAGCTAAATTCTTGTTACAAGAAATGTACTAAAATGTTTTTTTTTGGGAATGACAAGTACTCAAGTGTTACAAATATGTTTATGGTACTAGGTTTGCCTAATCTAGATCTTTATTGCATAACTACAGACTTAGCCTTATAAATCAGCTAGTTACCTGTGCCAGCAGCAATACAGCTGTGTATAGATTAATATAGATGTGTATATAAATATATTGAAAATTTTTTGTACTCAGTATTTCAGCAATCTCTTCTGGATCATCCTCTACTTGGTAGTCGTAGAGCTTTTTAAGAATCTTTTATATACTAATGTGAATTTATATATCAGTTTAAAACTGATAGAAAACTTGCCTGATGATCGGTTAATCGAGTTTATTGAACCATTGGACTAACTTATCCCAGGAAAATTTAAATCACCAACTATGGTTAGATCTTTGAAACCTTTTGGTCAACATATTCTCTTGCAATTTTAAATATATTTTCAATATCTATCATATCCGTAAAATCACAAGGTCTGTATATACATCCAATAAAATATTTATCATTGCCAAGCTGGTTAATAGCTGAGACATCCTTTATTTGACTCAATGTAAATGCATTATCGCTAAGTTCATATGAAATAATTTTGTTTCAATATAAATTAATAAACCTCATCCTCAACAACCATTACATCTACCTTTTTTATACAAACAATAACCATCCAAATTGCAGAGAGAGAAAGTTTTGCACCATGTTTTAGTAATCCTAATTAATTTAGGATTAAAAGTTGCAATTTGTTTCTGATTTCTATGGGTACCATACCAAACAGGATCCATCACCTTTAAAGCATTATTAAGTTTATTTCGCTTTGTCCTGAGTATAAAATCCTGTTGACGTTCAGCATCTGTTAAATCGGAGAAATGTATATATTTTTAAAACTTAGAATCAGTTTTAATTTTTTTGATGAAATTATAATGTTTCGAAGACTAGAATCAATAAAATCAGCAAAGTAAACCAACAATTGACCTGGCTTGTCAGAATTTATATATCTTAATTGTCTCACATTTTCAAAATTTATGCCTTGAACTCTAATTTCTGTAAATATTTTCAACACTTTCGCTTTATTTTTAGCTATTTTAACATCTAAAAAAAATTTATTGGATTATGACACTCCATAAATAATGCTATTTTTAGCTTTCTTCCTACGTTTATTTGATTCATTTATAGTATAATTTGCTACTATAAGTTGATTGTTTGGCTTTTTAGTTTGTTTACCTGATTTTTGAAGTTAAATTCAATCTTTAGTGCTTGATTGCTTGAACTAGTGCAATGTCAATTTTTACCTGATTTATTAATTCTACATTAACTACTTTTTCTATTAGTTGCAAACGCTTGTACTTTCCTTTTTTGTTCTGCTCTATATTATTTATTCAATCAGAAAGTGATAAAAGAAACTGTGAAATTTTGCCACATCACTCATGAAATATTTTTGAAGTTAAAAATTGGGTCCCTTGTACTAAGGCTGGCGAGTTTTCATCTGCCAAATATCGACTGTCCATTTTTTGATGTAGGTTGTAGGTTACCATTTCTTACAGTGGATTACCTCCTGGTCGAGAATTACTATTATTATGTTATTAAGCTTATTAACACAAATAGAAGTGTTAGTTTTTTAAGTTTTTTGCTGTAACCTCTAATGGGGTTACCCCTGTTAACCCTTTTGTGTCAAATTTTTTTTGTTAAAGTCTAACAGTTTAAGGTCAGCAATAGAGACTAGAGATGGTGTCTCAATAATAATACCTATCTTGGGCAGATGTTAAATGCATCCGGCTACTATCTTGTAGAAAGTCTCCTAGGCAAATACTCTAGAAGTACACAGATTCTATTTGTTGACCAGCCTCGCACCCATGGATCTTCTTGACTCAACCCATGGGTTTTGCTTGTATCTCTATTTTTATGACTAGGCAACTCATTCTATTATCTCCTAATGAGAGTACAGCTCTAAAACTCAATTATGGTTTTGAAACCGGCTGGTAGTCAGGTTTCCCAAACTTTGTGGCAGCTTCAGAGAGGCTGATTTCATCAACAGCTAAAAAGTATCAGAGTACTTAGAGTGCAATGTTATGCATGGATGGTGTCTTTATTTGTATTTTTGGTGTGCATTGTCGAGGTCACATTTGGATACCTTTTTTATGGCTTAGGGTGTATTAATAGTAAGGAAATTACTTAGACTTTTAAATAGTGTGCTGAGTACTATCTGTACTTGGAGTCAAGTTCTTTAACAAATTTAAAATTGACTAAAGTACCAACAACTATAAAAACAAAAAGCCATTGTCATCACTAAGTTCTCTAAATCAATTATTCACTAATATTTGTGGTCTTCAAAGTCATTTTTTTCTGTTGAGGTTTCTCTTGCAATGTTTACCAGACCAACTTGCTTTTTGTGAGACTAATTTGAGCTATTCTAAGGTCACAAAATCTCATACGCCATCTCCATAATTAGGCTCTCATGATTTCTGGAGAATCTTTAAAAGTATAATAAGGGAAAATCTATTATTCCACCTCTCTAATTTGTCTAACTACCGCCCCAGTAGTCTTCTCCCTATCATAAGCAAGGTTTTTGAATCTTTAATTAACAAACACTTTACCTCTTATCTTGAATCTAATAACTTACTTTCTGATCATCAATATAGATATCGGTCTTCTTGTTTTACTGCTGATTTGTTAACGGTAATAACCGATAGGTTTTATTGTGCATTAGATAGATGTGGAGAGGTTAAGCTCTTAACATTTCTAAAATCTTTGATAAAGTTTGGCATGCTGGTTCTCTTCATAAGCTTTCTTCTTACGGTGTATCAGGCAACATCTTTAAAATTATTGAATCCTTGCTTACAAATCTTAGAATAAAAGTTGCCCTTGATGGACAGCACTCTTTTCATATCCTGTCACTTCAGGGGTTCCTCAAGGCTCTATCCTTGATCTCTATAAATCTCAAATCTATCTTTGTATGGTTGCCATATTTACAGTCCGCTTAATATGATTGTTTTTAAGTGCCCAAAAAATTCTTATAAGTCTAGTTTTTTTTCCTCAAACATCAGTTTTTCGGAACTTGCTTCCCTTTATCTTATTCATATAATTTTCAAACTTCTAAGTCATCTGTTAATTGTGATCTTGGTCTATAAACTTCATCTTTTCTCTTTTAGCAACTTTCAACTGTAATAATGGTTGCTTGCAGCCTTGCTGGAAGTGAAAATATTGAAGAAAAAAAAATTATTGTCAACCTCATTTTTTCTAAAGCAGAGGGCTGTATGTATGTATGTATGTATGTATGTATGTATGTATGTATGTATGTATGTATATATATATATATATATCTGAGTGTGTTAGTCACAAAAATGATGGTAATATGATAAAAAAATATATCTGAAATAATCATAAATAAATTATAGACATCCTAATAACTAATTTTACTCATAAAATGATGAACAAACAAGATAAGCTTGTTTTAGAATAATGTGTAGTTTAATTTAGCACAATATTATAATATTATATACTTTGAGTGTTACAAAACATGATTAATAACATATTTAATGTATTTAAAAAACTATTACTGCAAATATTACTACTATGAATGACAAACATTAAAAAAAACATTAAACAAAAAAAGCACAGTTTATAGAATAAAAAAGTATCAAGTATACTGAAGTATAAAATGTGCAGCAAAAATATTTTAAAATCAAAAAGCATAAAAATATAAAGATAAAATTTTATTTTAAATTGAAGGTTTAATATAGGAAAACTAGTTATTAGGAATTTTGTATCTGAAGTTGTACACTTATATTACTTGTAACTAAAAATTGAAACATGCATAATGATTTAAATTAAATCTTATACATAAAATACAAAAATTTATTTTTCAACTTTATCTTCTTAAAAAGTTGACAATATCATTGCGTTGAATATCCCTTAATGCTTGAATTATCCTATTTGTGGAATCTAATTCATTGCCTTGACGCTGACCCCATCTTCGGATGATTTGATACGCCTTCTCATATAACTGTCGATATTCTTCATCGACTGCTTCAATTAAGCAATCTTCGATTTCTAAATATCGTGCTAATCTTTTCCAATCACTGCCAATATAGTGAGCTATTATATTATGATTTTCACCACTTATCATCTTTTAATAGAACAAAAAATATACATTAGAAATATTACTAAAAGTAGGGTTGTAGTGCTGATTCTATCTGGCACTCCAAATTTAAATTTATGGATAATACTTATAAAAATATTAATGAGTAAAAAAGTTATTTAAAATATTATTGAAATATTATTTAAAATACATTAGCTAGAGCCATATAGTCACAGTTGATTGGATTCAACATTAAATCCACATCCCTTAATGTACAATTCAAATATATACATATATATATATATATATATATATATATATACATATATATATATATATATATATATATATATATATATATATATATATATATATATATATATATATATATATATATATATATATATATATATATATATATTTAAAAATCTATGTATAGTCTCATTTTAATACTTTTTTAGTCTACTAGTAAAAAAAAGAATATTAAAATCTTAAATAATACTTGAATCACATATAAAGTAATTTTTATTTTTTGTTTACCTGGATTATATCATTTTAGGTTACACCAGAATATTTTTTTTTTTTTTTTTTTTTAATTTTAATTCACCTCCTCAAGGCCGAGAAGGCCACTACAGACGAGGAGGCTACTTAATTATAGTTATAACCCTCTCTCAACTCTATAACTCCAAAACACGAACCTTGACGAGCAAGGCCGCTGCGCGGAGAAACGAGTTGAATATATTATATTATCTGCGGTAGTGGTGTAGTGGTAGAGCGCTCGCTTCATAAACGAGTGGTTCCGAGTTCGATCCCCACCACATCCCTGGTAGTACCGCGCTCAACTCGTTTCTCCGCGCAGCGGCCTTGTTCGTCAAGGTTCGTGTTTCGGAGTTATAGAGTTGAGAGAGGGTTATAGCCACAAATAAGTAGCCTCCTCATCTGTAGTGGTCTTCTCGGCCTTGAGGAGGTGAATTAAAATTAAAAAAAAAAAAAAAAAAAATATTATGGAGAATCCAACCACAATTATTTTTCAAAATAGATACTCTTTTTATTAGTTCTCATTTACATGTTTTTAAAATTTTAATTGAATTAAGGTAGATTTTGATACCTTATTCATCTTGTTATAAAAAATCTTATTTTGTAGCGTTTTTAATCTTATTTTATAGCAGAAGCGTGGGATAATTCTTATGTTACATGTGTGAGACTGCTACAAAAACTTTATAACAAATAGTTCAGAAAATAGTTTTCAACAGATATTCAAAGTTTGCATTCTACTATTAATATTGAAATAACAAGTTTACTCTACATATTATTAAGAGAACTGATTAGCTGTGTTAGATATTATTACAATATTGATTTTTTTCAAAGACAATATGTTGATACTTATTAGCCATATTTTGTTAATAACTTCACCAAATTTAAATAATTTTTTATAAACCTTGGATTGTAATATCTAATATGGATGGTAAAATCTAGTATCACAACTACTCACAGTACATAGTAGTATTATCACAACAAAACTACTCCTGATACAAATACTAGATTTTATCCTTCATATTATCAATCAATCATATTTATTGACAGGCTCAAGGCCCAATATAATAAATATACAATGGGTAAAACAAAGTGTATATCAAAAAAATAACGCACTTGAATATAAACAAAACCCAAGGAAAAATAAAATAACAAAATAAAAAAGTGCTAAAAATACAACTCAGCTCTCCATTTAATCAACAATGGAGACTTCAAGAACCTGTCAGAGTTAACAAAAGCTTTTATGATGAGGTTCTCACTATTCTGCAGCAGTAGCAATGAAGAGTATTGTTGCTTACAAATAACAACATTAAGTGAATATTACATTAAGTTGTAACAACATTAAGTTGTAATATTAGATATTATAATCCAAGACTACTCACTGGGTAATGTCAGGAAGGGTTTTCAGTGGTAAAAATTGTAATAACTCTTCAATAATAACATATATAAATTTAAAATAATTCATTGTGGAAAACCGTCTAAACCACATGTGTGAACCATGAATGTTTATCTTTTTTAAAAATAGTAATAATAAATTATAATATTAGATTCATTATCGAGAGAATACAATTAACTTAACTTGAAGCCATTTTAACATCAATTAATTTCAATAACTATTCTATCATGTCTAAACTAAAATTTTGATTATAAAATTGAACTTTATTAGGATTGAAAGTTTTTATTTATAGTTATGCTCCTCTGAGATGCTGAATAAACATACCCTTGTTTGTTTATTCAGCACAAAAAGTATACAAAAAATTTTCAAAGCCCCTTTGACTTTATTACAATTTGTACTAAATTTAAAGTTATTTTAATATGAATAAATATACAAGTAATATAAAAACCTTATATTTAGCTTTGGACTTAAATAAAGTTTTTTATTGAGGTCCAAAGGGTTTTTTTAAAATGTTGAGGATTTTTAGAGCCTAACAGAGACATTTATTTAGCACTTCAATATTATAAATCGCAGAGTTTTATAATGAAAACTAAGGTGTTACTAATTATATATTACTTTTTTGTATTATAAATATTATTGGTCTGGTCAGGATTAGGATCATCATGATCACCATGGTAACATAGATTAAAACCTCTTTCTTATATACCTCCTAATAAGGTACAGCTCAGATGTTAAATGTTTCTGAACTTTGTGATAACTTTCAGTGCAGTTGATTTTATCAACAACTGTAAAATATCAGGTTATTAATAGCCTTATATTGAACACAGAAGGTTTCCATGTTAGTGTTTTGGTGTTTATTGTTGAGGCTAAATAAGTAACCCAGATAAGTATGTATTTTGGTTGATTAGCATGAATACAGCAATAGACTCAATTATAGATAACTTAAGATATCATAAACTATTTATATTTCAGTCAAGTTTCTAATTAAAAACAAGAATAAAATACTTAAAAGTATTATTAAAAAAAAACATAATTACCGCTGAACTTTTCAATCTATTCTTTACAAATATGGTCTTTGATGTAATTTTAAATCTTTTCCATGGATAAATTAACCAGATCTATTTACTAATCATGAAACTAATTTAAATTTAGCTAATTCATCTTTGGATCTTGGAGTGTAGATGGCTATTATTTTTTGATTTCTAAATACCCTAATACTAACATTGGCATGGGTAAGTTAATTATGTATCAATTCATTTATATCCTGAAAATAGAATTGAATCCAAAGTTGTATCCTTTTAATGTAAATCCTTGTAATCATTTTTAGATGCTAAAAAAACTTTTCATCATCAGGTTTTTTTTTCTTGAATATTTGTTTTTTGGAATTTTTTTCCTGTTTTCACATTTTCAGATAAAACGATTTATTTTGGTATTTAATTTGGTATCCTTTAATAAATCCACTTGTATTGATATTCCACAGAAGATTATTAACAAAAAAAAGCTATTGCTGAATTGATATTTTCCAAATTTTGTTAGAAATAGTCAACTCTCAAATTGATTTTGCTAATACTATTGGTATTATATGCTTATTGGCAATAAACATATCTAAAAATAACACCTATGGATTTTCATCTTTTTTTTGGATTATTTGAATATACCATCATTGAAGGGAAAAAATTAGACCATAATTTATCCAGCTCTTTTTTTGAACACCTTTTTACTCTAATTTAGATTCTTAACAAATAGTTATTTAATATCTTTGATATACTATATGAGCATGAACTATAAATGAGCATCCATAAATAATTAGTTTTTACTTGAATTAAATTTTATGTAATGTCGGGGTAACACATGGTTCATGTATTTAACTCCGACATAATATATTCATATTTTAAATAAAAAAGGAGTTTACTATAGATTTTTATACAGATTACAATAATCATTTAAAATAATCTATTTGTTAAAATCTCTAAGTTTGATTTACATTATAATTTATTCTTCAGTGAAATATAGATTAAATCGAATCAAATACATTCTGAAACAAGTTGTGAAATTTAAAAAACAATAAAAATAACAAATAGTTATGGCCCACTGTAATTACACGGCCAGATTTATTGCACTTGCCGTAATAAAAATTAGGTCACACGAACATTACAAAGCTTTGTAGTAAGGACTAGTAAGGACTCTGAACCTTTACGCCGACTGGGACAACAACCCTAGTTGGCGCCCCTTTTTATCTAAATTTTCCTATTTTATCAATTACTTTTTTTATTATTATTTCCAAGATGGTCTAATAGTCAAGTCACATAACACCACGGAAGAAGGTCTAATAGTCAAGTCACATAACACCACGGAACACCACCATAACACCACGGAACATAACACATCACATAACACCACGGAAGAGCATTTAACTAGAAAGTTTATACCTTTATCCTTACCGATAGTGCAAGATATGCCCGCTTCGAATTGCTTCGAACCATGGGTCTTTTGCTTCTAAAGCAAGCATTATAACCACCGCCTTGCGTCCGTACCACAACGCTTTTTTTTTAATTCCTTTTTTATTTTTTTCCCTTTATCATCTGCCGCCCATGGCAAATTGTCCCTTAAGCCCCTCCTAAGTGAGTTTTTGAGTTTATAGCGCAATAAATAAAAAAACAACTGTAAAATGAGAACCACTTTATATAATTTGATTAAAGTTGGTGCAAATTTAGCATATGGACGCACCAAATTCAAGATTAAATTTCATCTAGAATAGTTTACTGGTTATTGATTTATGGCATTTTTAATTTATATTTTGTTAGTTTTTTGCTACTCAAAATATTACCGATTACTCTGATTTAATCACTAATTTTAAAATATTGGTTACATGAGTGTTCTACTATGTAATATTGGTTACATGAGTGTTCTACTATGTAATATTGGTTACATGAGTGTTCTACTATGTAATATTGGTTACATGAGTGTTCTACTATGTAATATTGGTTACATGAGTGTTCTACTATGTAATATTGGTTACATGAGTGTTCTACTATGTAATATTGGTTACATGAGTGTTCTACAATGTAATATTGGTTACATGAGTGTTCTACTATGTAATATTGGTTACATGAGTGTTCTACTATGTAATATTGGTTACATGAGTGTTCTACTATGTAATATTGGTTACATGAGTGTTCTACAATGTAATATTGGTTACATGAGTGTTCTACTATGTAATATTGGTTACATGAGTGTTCTACTATGTAATATTGGTTACATGAGTGTTCTACAATGTAATATTGGTTACATGAGTGTTCTACTATGTAATATTGGTTACATGAGTGTTCTACTATGTAATATTGGTTACATGAGTGTTCTACTATGTAATATTGGTTACATGAGTGTTCTACTATGTAATATTGGTTACATGAGTGTTCTACTATGTAATATTGGTTACATGAGTGTTCTACTATGTAATATTGGTTACATGAGTGTTCTACTATGTAATATTGGTTACATGAGTGTTCTACAATGTAATATTGGTTACATGAGTGTTCTACTATGTAATATTGGTTACATGAGTGTTCTACTATGTAATATTGGTTACATGAGTGTTCTACTATGTAATATTGGTTACATGAGTGTTCTACAATGTAATATTGGTTACATGAGTGTTCTACTATGTAATATTGGTTACATGAGTGTTCTACTATGTAATATTGGTTACATGAGTGTTCTACAATGTAATATTGGTTACATGAGTGTTCTACTATGTAATATTGGTTACATGAGTGTTCTACTATGTAATATTGGTTACATGAGTGTTCTACTATGTAATATTGGTTACATGAGTGTTCTACTATGTAATATTGGTTACATGAGTGTTCTACTATGTAATATTGGTTACATGAGTGTTCTACTATGTAATATTGGTTACATGAGTGTTCTACAATGTAATATTGGTTACATGAGTGTTCTACTATGTAATATTGGTTACATGAGTGTTCTACTATGTAATATTGGTTACATGAGTGTTCTACTATGTAATATTGGTTACATGAGTGTTCTACTATGTAATATTGGTTACATGAGTGTTCTACTATGTAATATTGGTTACATGAGTGTTCTACTATGTAATATTGGTTACATGAGTGTTCTACTATGTAATATTGGTTACATGAGTGTTCTACTATGTAATATTGGTTACATGAGTGTTCTACTATGTAATATTGGTTACATGAGTGTTCTACTATGTAATATTGGTTACATGAGTGTTCTACTATGTAATATTGGTTACATGAGTGTTCTACTATGTAATATTGGTTACATGAGTGTTCTACTATGTAATATTGGTTACATGAGTGTTCTACTATGTAATATTGGTTACATGAGTGTTCTACTATGTAATATTGGTTACATGAGTGTTCTACTATGTAATATTGGTTACATGAGTGTTCTACTATGTAATATTGGTTACATGAGTGTTCTACTATGTAATATTGGTTACATGCATTTTTTCATAGCATTTTTGCAAATATAAACTACTGTCTAAATGCATTAAAATGTTAAAAAATGTTTGAAAGCTTTTATAAAGATTCCTACATAAAAAAATATCAAATTTTGATAAGATAACTAATATAATTGGTAAATAAAAAGTTTGGAGGGCCAGTCAGAGGAATATCTTATAAAAGGGAGAAAAAAGTCCTTCGAAGAGCAATAAAAATCTTTTACAGGTCATTAAATAAAATCTCTTCTAAATTGCCAATGAGTATGACAAGTGTCATTGATTTAAATTTCCTTTAAACGAAATAACTATGTAAGAACTATTTCCTTGTAATTTAAGTAATTATTTCCTTGATTTTAATTATTTGTAATTAATAATGTTTGTAGGTATGTTAATTGATTATTATCCATAATAAATTCAGGTTAAATTTTGTAAAAGAGATAGTTTGATTTAGTAAATGTCAAATTGAGCAAAGGTTCACAATAAAAATTAAAAATTTGTGCGCTTGCTCTGTCTGAAATAAAGTTTGAGATTCAAAGCTGCAAGAAAAACATCCTCTTGAAAGAATGAAAACTATGAAAGAACCAAATATACGTTGCAGCACATGCCTCTACCTTTTCGGAAAATATTTGCCTCACCAATCCTCTCAAATAAAGCTCAAGGAAAACCTTCAATCTTTAGCAGTAAAAAATGCCAGAGCAGCCAAACAAATTGTATTTTGAGTTATTTTTAATATTTCAGAAACTATTCAACTCGCTAATGCATTTGTATTTACTTACCTCCATTTATATTTACATGTGGTAAATATTCAAACTTTAATAATTTTTACATATAAATTCAAAAAAAATCTTTAAAAAAAAAGACAAGATAGGTTTCGAAAAGTATATTTTTAACAAGTTTTTATTTACGTTAAAAATGAATAATTTGAAAGTTTTAAACATGCTGAACAAAATGTTTACCCGACAAGAAAGGTATATGTGGCCCACGTGTGGTCATAGTGTTTTCGTGTGGATTAAAAGTGCAAAAATATATTACAGTTGATAAATGACGTATTTGATGAAGATAAGCGTGGCTCACTTGTGGAACACATAATGCTGTTCACATAACTATTCTACTTAATGTGGCATAATTCCTAAATAAATAAGTGCTAAATTTTTTTTTTTTTTTTTATTTTAATTTTGTTTTACAACACAAGTATCCAATAAAACAAAATTACATGTTTTTACATATAAGTACAAAACGTACAATTAAACAATTTTTGTACCATTAAAATTTTTACAAGACAAAAGAAATTCAAAATTCTGTTTAGCGCATGCGCGTTGTACAGTGTACAAAATAAGGTAACTATTCGTTGTTTATAATATAAAGTGCTGGCTATTAACCCATGCATTTAAAAAATATATGCAAGTCCGTCGTACCACAGGGCTACTAGGGACTTGCTTGTGGACGTTGTTGAATATATATATATATAAAATTATTCTTAAAAAATATTTTTCTTTGTTGTAAGGAAACTCGCAGAAGACTAAAATAGTCTTTTCATTGAGAACCTTTAAAACATAAAATAAACTTTAATGAACTAATGAACAAATACACATAAGTATTTTGATATCTACTATATAGTAGAAGTAGTAGGGCTTTTTATTATTACTATTTTTCACAAATTTGATGTGGCTATTATATGGGCCATGCATATAAATCTCACGATCTTGCGTCATTTTGAATTTTAAATTTTAACCAATTGTAATAATTCTATCGCAATGCATTGTAAACTCTAGAATATTCCATGATATCATGTGGCTTACCGTTTTGATAATTTTCAATTCATAACTGTTGTAAGTAAGTTTGAGCGATAAAAATAAATATATATAAAAGAAAAAATATAAATATATAAAATAAAAAACAAAAACCTAGGGGTGTTTAGACTTTTACTTATTGTAATATACAATTTGTTATCATTACTAAACTATGTTTTTTTTTTATGTGATTTTATGTGTAATTTAGATTATATTACGGCATATTGTTAAAAGGATATTATTTAAAACTATATTACTTATATACAGGGCCGTACCGACGGGATGTTGTGTGGGTAGGACACCCACCTCCTCCCCAAAATTCTGTCGGTTTTTGTCGGAAAATTGGAAGATTTGGTTAGAACTGATATTTGGCTTCTTAAAAAAAAAAAAAAAAAAACCTTGTCTGTAAAGTTAGCTTTGCACCTTCGTCGTTCGGTACGGCTCTGCTTTTATATAAGTATACAATATATATTATAAAATTTATAAAAAACTGTAAATGTTTATAATTTTGTTATAAAAAAATAAATAAAAATAAAAATGTTTGAGCGGATTTGTAATGAATATATTAGAGAATTGTTGTTCAAAATAAAATTTGTAAATCAGAGTTATACTTAACGAATACAAATTCATAGTTATACTTAAACAACGTTATATTTTAAAATAGCGGACAACTCGGTGGAGTTAAAGCACTTTTAAAATATTATAGCGTCTGTATGATATTTTGTTGATTATGACATATTTCCGTGAAATGGTCTGGTCTGTGAATTATGAAAAGACGAAAAAAATTAAAATAATAAATTTTGCGGTATCATAAAATATAAATGTTTGTAGCAAAAAAACCCAGACCGTGGAATCTTTTTTTTTTTTTTAAATCATCTTAAAATCACAATCGCTCGTCCAAATTTAAATAAGATTTTATATTAATACGTTTTTTAGGTGAAATGAACATTATAGTTTAACAATATGATCTGTTCTGATTGTTTATCGGCAATTATTTATAATTATAAGCTCTTTCTTGGTCGGAATTCCAGTATTTTTTGTGAAAATTGATAGAAATATTGTGTTTTGACAACTATATATAGTTAATATACGTCAGAACCGATTAGAACTAGGATCAGTAGTAAATTAAGTAACTTTTTAAAAAGATTTTAACTAAATTCATGTTAATGCCGATGAGCGAAATTGATCT